AAGTGAGGATTAACAACAACGAAAATTACTCTGATGTGCTACAATAGACAAATGCTGAAACACTGCCACTTCCCAAAGCCCCTTGAATACCTGAGGAAGTTGTTGTGCAGTTCTCTTAGGTACTTGTCAAAGAAAGTCCATTCACTCCAGTGGAGACGGTTCAACTGCCGGAGGATATCCTTTCTCTTCTTCATGTTAGACAGGGTCAGGCTGATGACATCAGCGTAGGTCAGGCTGGACTCAGTGGATTTCAGGGTCAAGGAAAACCCCTCATTGTCAGTTGGTATTGACTCTGGGCATTATTAGTGGGATGTGCCTAGGGCATGGGGAGGAGGGCCGGTGAGATGGCAGAGAGGGGAAACTTTGCGGATGAGATCACTGAAACCTGAGCAGGAAAGACTCTTTCTGCTCTTTGACGGTGGCCTGCTTTGGAAAGAGGCTATCCTCTCCATGGCGAGGCCACCCCCTATCTTTTAATAAAGCTCCTCTCTCTTCCTGCTGATGGAAGGGCTAGGCAATGCTTTTTTTAGATTGTCATCTAAAATTCTTACTCTTATCACAGTGGTGAATAGGAAGGAATTCCAACTTTTCTTTCCTTTCAGGCCCAAGGCCTCATTCCCTTGCTCATGTTTGTATGTCAGTAATTTTTCTTTGCTCCCTCTAGCCCTCCACCCCTGCTGGATTGGTCAGAATCTCAGCTACACTCATCACTTGTTGTGGGCGCTCAGGCAAGATATGTCACCCTCTTTGTCTACAGTTCCTTATCTATAAACAGGGATAATAACACCAGCCTTAGATGATGTTAATAACGATGACAGTTCTTATTTACTTAGTACTGGGTATGTGCCATTCAATCCCAGTCACAGTACTGGTTTGGTGTCACCACCCTTACTTTAGGATGGAGATGATACAGATATTGAGCACCAAGGGTAAACTGTGTACATGAGATCTGAAGGCCAGTAGGCTGCTGGGCTGGGGACTCAAATCCAGGGCTGTGTACCCCCAGTCCAGGCTCTTCCCATTACACTACACTGTCTTTACAGAACAAGAGGTGATAGAAGGAAAAGCATTTTATGAACAATAAAGCACCATGAATTGTGACAGAGATAGGTTTGTGGATAAGAAGTGCTACAGGGCAGCAGTTATAAGTCCCATCCAGTTCACTATGAAAGCTTCTCCTGATGTGGAGCTATATGCAGATAGGTACCATTCACGCAATGTTACCTGCCAGGCACCAGGCTAAGCCTTCACTTCTATTGTGCTCATTCTGTGCAAAACAGTCCCATGAGGCAGCTGCTGTCACCCCCACTTTATAGATGAAAACTGAGGCTCAGAGAGAAGCTAGAACTTGACTAAGGTCACTCAGCAGGTAGGACGCTGCGCAGCTCCCTGAGTCCAGGACTATTTGACTCCGTCTTCTGACCCGCCCTCTATGGTAAACTGCTAGGACTCAGGACACCAGCGCATGTCACGCCTGCTTTCTTAAGATCTGAGCTTTTTACCAAATCTTTAAATGCCATTGGGGCCAGGAATCTGCTGATGTGTCTGGGGGAGGGGTGTGTGTGAGGAGAGTGTTAGAAAAAACACACACCTAGACACCAAAATTCCTGATCAATATATACACCAGGGTCAGTGGGCACCTGGAGGCATGACTGAGTTGTGAAGTCTGTTAAGAGTATCTAGTTAGCCCATCCATCCTGGTAGATGGGAGGAAATTTTGCACACAAGGTGATTCGACTTGCCCCAGGGTCCCACAGAATCATTTCATGAGGTAGATGTGGAACCAAAATGAGCAAGATTCTGACCCTTAGGCTTATATCTGGCCACTCTTGACAGGCACCTACTAGGTGCCAGGCACTGAATTAAGGACTGGATGCCTCTCCCCCACCTTCGCTTCTGGGAAGAGGAAGCAGGGGCCTGGAGGAACATGTAGGATATGGGATGGTCTTAGTTTTTTCCCTCCTGCCCACCAACACGTCTTTGCCACACTGCCTCAGGGTGAAGTAGTTCAGGAGGAAGTACACGATCAGAGGGCTCTTCCCATAAATGTTGAAGAGGTTTGAAGTCAGCTCAGGACTTTTGCAGACAGGGTGAGACTGAGCAGGAAAGAGAGAGGGGGGAAAAAAAGGATATTGTCAATTATACAGCATGCATTAAGAAATGTAAAGGCACTCATGTCCTTTGATCTGGTAACTCCAGTTTTAGGACACTATCCTATGGAAGTCACCCAAAATAAAGGAAAATAAATTAGGCACAAAGATGTTGACTGCAGAGAATTTTACTATAACAAAAGATTAGAATAATGTTCAGGAAGATATTAATATCACTACCCAAAGGGATAGTATGCTACTATTAAAATGTTTATGAAGAGTTGGTACTAAAATATAGTTTCCAATAAAATAGGTTAAAATAATCAAGATGCAAAATTGAGTAGACAATATTAATTTTATATGAAGTAACCATAATTATATGAAACAATTTGGTAAAAAAATAGATGAAAGACTAGAAGCATAGTTATGAAAATGTTAACAATTCATTCAACAAGTATTTGTTGGGTGACACTATGTATTCATTGTTCTAGGCCCTGGAAATTCAGCTGAAAATAACACAAATTCCAGCCCTTGTGGAGCCTGCACTACAGTTGAGAGAAAAACAATAAACAAATCAAGAAATAAAAGAATAAATACCATGATATTGTGGAATATGTGCTTCAGATAAGAATCAGACAGGGAGCCTGGCCGGCATGGCTCAGTGGCTGAGCATCGAACTAGGATCCAGGAGACTGCAGTTCGATTCCCAGTCAGGGTACATGCCCGGGTTGGGAGCTCAATTCCCAGTGGGGTGTGTGCAGGAGGCAGCCGATCAATGAATCTCTCTCATTGATGTTTCTATCTCTGTCTCTCCTTTTCCCTTCCTCTCTCTGAAATCAATAAAAATATATTTTAAAAGAATCAGACAGGGCAAGCGGTGAAGGGTAGTGCAATGGGAGACTGGGGAGGAAAAGAATCTTCCATGGTGGTCAGGGAGGGCTGCCCTGAGGAGGAGCAATCCTGAATGATGGAAGATCTGTGCGATGTTCCAGGCAAAGGGGACAGCAAGTGCGAGAGACCCTAAAGCAGATGAGGGCTTTGTGTAGCAGGGGGACAAAAACAAGGCTTGTGTGGCTCAAATGGAGAATATATGATGAAGCTGAAAAGAAAGCAGTGGCTCTGGGTCCCAGGAAGGAGTTAAGATCTTCTCTCCATGTGATGGAAGCCACTGGAAGGATCTGATCAGGGTACAACATAATCTGATTAATTTTTTCTAAAGATCCCTTTGACTGATGTGTGGAGAAATGACTGCAGTGGGTAAGACTGGATGTGAGAAGGACAGCTGGGAAGCCTCTGAAGTGGTTGGGGGAGCTGATGAAGCTGGGACTGGGTAGTTGGAAGAGGGTGAGAAGTGATTAAATTTGCAATATATTATGAAAGCAGAACTGGCAGGAATTGCTGATGGACTCAAAGTGAGTGTGAGAAAGAGAAGAGGCAAGGGTGGCTCCAAAAGTTTAGGTGCCAGCTGCTGAGGGGGGAAGACCTGGGGAGGAACAGGTTAGCAGAGTGGGAAAATCAAGAGATTTGCTTTAGACGTGTTCTATTTGAGACGCTAACAGACAACCAAGAGGAAATGGATCAGGGAAGAGAACAGGCTGGGGCGGAGGGTGATTTGCTTTCCACCCTTATATTCCTCTGCCTTTTTCCAAAAATGTCAATGATTATGTACTACTTTTGTATTTAAAAAAGCAATATTTTCCATCGAAAAAGTGGTTATAATTTAACCGAACAGGAATTGTCTCATGAACAAGGCTGCAACAGCACCTAGCCACACTATTCTCTAACCACGTCTGTTTTAATCACTAATGAGATTACTTCTATCTATAGCAGGGTCTCTCAGCCTCGGCACTTGGACATTCTGGGCCAGATAACTCTTTGACGTGGGAGACTATCCTGTGCATTGTAGGATGCTGAGCGACATCCCTGGTCTCCACCTGCTAGACGGCAGTACTACTCCACCCCCACCCCCATTGTGACAACCAGAAATATCTTTGGACATGGCCAGATGTCTCTGAGGGGGCAAAATCACTCCCAGCTGGGAAGCACCATTCTATAGCACGATCCCACTGGAATCACAGAAACCTGGGGTTAGTAGGGAACCTACAGACCATTTAGTCTAAAGAGTCCTAAAACCCATTTCCAAATGGGGACAGTACATGTTCATTGGTCTCCAGTGAAATGAGGGAAACAAGGAAAAATACATCATAATACATCTGACATGAAGTAAATTTACTCACTTTAAGGACTCTCTTTTATCCTGAGACTGTCTTCTCTACTTTTTCATATTAATGACCCTTCTTTTATGAAATGATGGAGATGGCAGATAGCAGCCTTTTTTTTGGTATTTTATTTTATTAACAACTTTTACTTTTTTTTTTTATGTTTTAATCTCAGCCATTTGGTTTTAATGAGCTTATTCAGAAAAACAAAGTTTTCCAAAGTCTAGAAAAATCTAAAGTGGATCTAGGATCCTCTAAGCTTATCAGAGGTGTTCTTTTGGCTGCCAGTATCCATTCTCCTTTCCTAACAGCCCCGAGTTCTCTGTGTTTGGGGAGTTTACCTGCTCTCTACTGCATTCGGGCTTGAGGGAGCTTTAAATAAAAAATAAAAATGGAGCCCTGGCCGATGTGGCTCAGTTGCTTGGAGCGTGATCCCCTGCACCAAAAAGTTGTGGGTTTCATTCCCAGTCAGGGCACATACCTAAGTTCAGGTTCGTTCCCAGTCTGGGCCCTTACGAGAAGCAACCAATCAATGTTTCTCTCTCACGTCAGTGTTTCTCTCTCTCCTTCTCCTTTCCTCTCTCTCTAATATCAATAAACATGTCCTCGATGAGGTTTTTAAAAAATAATAAAAATTTAAAAATAAAAAAATAAAAATGAAACCATAACAACACTGCTGGGCTTCATTTTCTCAATTTTATAAAAGAAGGTTGGAAAAGTTAAATAACTTGCTCAAGTAGCACAGCTGATGAGATGCAGCACCAAGATTTGAACCCATGTCTGTCTGTTTTTTTCACCACGCCCTGCTACTTCTCAAAAGTTTCATGCTAAATGCTGATGGGAAATAGGCAGTGGTAATAAACATGGAGAAATGAAGAAGGTTCAGGAAATCTCCGACCGTACTTGCTGTACTTGGCCCAAACTCTAGGGCATGACTCCTTTGCTAGTTGGTGTTTTGGGAAAGCCCCCAAAACCTCTTGCCCTGTTCAGGGTCCTAAGGGCCTCTTCCTACTACACAGGGCTGAAGGTAACATTGTTATAAACTACCAGGCACTGAGGTTTGTGGGGAACATTTGGGGCAGGGGAGGAGAAGATAAGAGAACACACGTGATCCCGGGAGTCTTGGTTCCGGGGACTGTGCTGGTGGCAAGGCTCCGTGGCTAGAAGCTCAAGCTCAGAGCCAGACAGATCTGCACGCAAGTCTTGGCTTTATCACTTGGACAAATTAGTTACTTGCTCTGAGCATCATTTTCCTCACTAATAAACTAAAGAAAAGCAGAAGTAATTATCTCAGAGGACTGTGGCAGTTAAACAAAAGGTACTGCATGCACAGGTTTGGTATAGTGCCTGACGTGTAGTTTTATTACATGATAATTATCACAGCCATCTCAGGTAAATCTCTTAACACCATGACTTAGGAATTACTATCTCTATTTTATAGAGTAGAAAACAGAGACTCAGTGCTCTCTTTCTGTTCCACCCAGGCTCCTAAATTTCAAGCAAGTAATTTAAATCTCTGGAGAAATCCAGACAAAACACTTATTCAACTTGTGCTTACCTCAGCCAGAAATTACCCTTAGGAGAGTTCCTGACTGATACCCGAGTCTACAATGAGAAAACCCCAGTTCTTAGTCTGACATCTCAACAGTGCTAGCTTTTGCAGCCATATCTCCTAGCCCCTCTTAAATCATCTCTACTATTAAATTTCCAATTCTGTGCTTACCTTCTTAGGAAGCTTATTCTCACATACTCTTGCTTCTGATCTCCTCTTGAGTTGTTGTGTAGCTTTCCTTGAGAACTGAGTCTCAGAATAATGATCTGTCAATGCAATATCAGAAAAAAAAAAATCACTGGAGTTGGTCGGCTTGGGTAGATCTGTTTCCTAGTAGTGTGAAAATGCCTGGGTGTATTCAGATCATCAGGAGATACTAGAGGAAGTAGACCAGGTAAGTTCATACATTTTCACTTACATTTTATTCAGATATACACCTATGGCCACAGATCTGTTCCTTTATTAATCTATCCACCCATCCAACAAACACTGAGCATCTACTATGTGCTGGGAGTACGCTAGGTGCGGGTAGTAGACTTTCTTTAAGAAACTCACATTTTAGCGAGAAAAATGACATGCAAATAGTAAGTGTAACACTAATTCAGGTGCCATAATAGAATTAAATAGAATACAGCTTAAAGTATGGTCACAGAACAAGGGGAGACTAAAAGCTTTTTTTAAAAGCTAAGTAGAATCAGGAAAGGTGTAATTAAAAGAGAAAAAATATCCAACTCTTGCACAAAGTTATGGTTTTTCTGTAGGACAAAGTTAACAGAGAACATCTTAAAGATGGGCAGAGAAAAACAACAGGTCATTTATAAATGAATAATCAGAATTACTGCAAAGTTTTCAACAGTAGCACTGGAAGCTAGAAGACAGTGGAATAAAATCACCAGAGCACTGAGGTATCCTTCTGCATCCAGCAAATCTATCCTTTCAGAACAAAGATGAACTAAAGACATGAACAGAAAAAGAAAAACAAGCATACCAAAAAACCTGTGATAAAGACACTGCTAAAAAGTATATGTTTCTCTCCCTCTCTCTGTTTCCTATCTATAAAATGAAGACAATAATTCCTAGGTCATGGTGTTATGAGGTTTACCTGAAGTAGTGATGATAATTATCATGTAGTAAACACTACACAGGGTGGGGCAAAAGTAGGTTTACAGTTGTTTGTATGGAAAACAAATTAACAATAATTAATAAATAATAAGATAAATTCTGTGTTTGTGTACTCACAACTGTAACCTTACTTTTGCCCCACCCTGCATTTACTATATATTTTATATATTTCCTATTCGCATTATATATTTCCTATTACATTATATTTCCTACATATAATCAGATATTTACACTTTCTGTTGCTTTTTTGGTCCTTTCTGAAGTTCCAAGTTTCCCTCTGGTAACATCCCTCCTTTAGTTGGGCCTGCTGGCAATGAATTCTCTTAGTTTTCTTTCATCTAAGAATGTCTTTATTTCACTTTGATTACTGAAGGGTGTTTTTTCTGGGTATAGAATTTGGGGTTGACAATTCTTTTCTCTCAGCAATTTAAAATGTTGTTCCACAGCCATCTGGACTTACTGGTCTGATGAGAAATGCACAGTTATTAAAATTGTTCCCCTTCCATGTTATGCATTTTTCTCTGGCTGCCCTCAGGATATTTACTCTGTCTTTGTCTTTCATCTGGTTGTATGGGAATGGATTTCTTTGAATTTAACTTGTTACAGTTTACAGAGCTTCCTGAGTCTATAAATTTGTCTTTAGCCAAATTTGGGGTGTTTTCAGACATTATTCTGGCAAACAACCTTTTTGTACCATACCCTTTCTGCTTTCTACTCAAGAGTTTGACAGCATAAATGTTAGAATTGTTGCTACTGTGCCGTAAGTTCCTGAGGCTCTGTTCATTTTTTCCAGTCTTTTGTGCCCACACTGTTCAGATCATGTACTATAATAAAAATATAGATTTGGTCTTTGTCCCCAGTTCCTGGCACAGAGTGTCTTTTGTTACTCATAATCAGCCTCCTGACACTGAGAAAAAGCATATTGTAGAACTCAGCTTCTATTAATGTGAAAATGCATGAGTGTATCAGATCATTGGGAGATACTAGTGGAGGTAGCTCAGGTAAATTCACACAATTTCACTGGCATTTTATCCCATGGGCCTGCAGAGCAAGTCAGGCCTCTTGTTCCCAGGAAAGCTGTGAATAACAAACTTCTCTTTCAATGGCATTGACCTCTCTGGGTAGTCACCTTTATAAATTAACACCCAGGCACAAAACAGTTCCTACCTCAATAAATGCTGGTTTCTGGTGGGGAGAGGAGCAGTAATCATGTCTTAGACTTATTTTCTTCCATTGCCAACCACCTCTCTTCCCCACAGACATTAGTGCTGTACTGGACTCATCACTACGTAAGCAGAACTTAATCAGTGCTTGTTGAACTGAAAAGACAATTCCGTCCTCTTATAAGATATTACTGGGTGCCAGGGCCCAGGGCCCCAGCTAGAACTGGGTGTAAACTAGGGTGACAAATTATGTTGAAACAAAGCCAAGAAATAAGGGTTTTGGAGATAACTGAGTCGAAAGCTGACACTTCCCTTTCAGGTAGTTACTGTACCTTTCATGGTATTCTGTGTTTGTGTGCTGCTATCCTTTGGATTCTTCCTGGATAAAAAGTCTCTCTGGCTGTTTGAATTTCCACTAGTATACTCCAGGGGAGAGGAAAAAAAACAAATTTAGTAAAACTGGTAGTGAGAGGAACACAAAAGTATACATGCTATTTCCTAGCTATTTCTGATTGCTCTTGAAGAGGAAGGGCTTTTAGGCACAGCTTGACAACTCAGCCCTCCATCCTAGGAGCATGGTGGAGAGAAGGGGCTGATGGAGAACATGCATGGGCTGGGGACTGAGGCCGACTGGGGTTCCAGTCGCAGATGTGCTGCACAACAACTGGTGATCCTGGGCAAGTCATCGTACTTCTCGATTGCCTTGGTTTCCCCATGGGGTTCTTGCGAGATGAAGGCAGCTAAAGCTTGCACAGTGCGAAGTGGCTGGCTGCTCATGGGAGTGCTCCGTGAAAACTGCTACTGTTGTCCACGCACTCACCACACCCCCTTCAGTAAACATCTCACTGAGCCACTGCTAATGTGTCTGGCCCTGGGAAGGCCCTGAAACCTAGTCCCTGCCCAGAGGAGCTCCCAGTCTAGCAGGGGAGATAATAGTAAATAGACAATTATGGTAAAGTGTGGAAAGTATCACATATTTATTAGAGAGGCAATATAAGTTAGGATTAGGTTTGTATGTGAGTGACAGAGACTCAAAATAACAGTGGCTCAAACTAGGTAGAAATTTCTTTCCCTGGCGAGTGTGGCTCAGTTGGTTGGAGTGTCATCTCCTACACTGAAAGGATGTAGGCTTGATTCCCAATCAGGGCACATACCCAGGTTGCAGGCTCAATTCCCAGTCTGACTGTTTCCCTCC